TTTTTTTTTTTAAGTTAGAGTCTCACTCCGTCGCCCAAGCTCACGGCTACCCAAGCATTGACCTACTGGGTTCTGGCGATCCTTCCACCTCAGCCTTACAAGTAGCTGAAACTACAGGCGCATGCTACCCAGCTAAGTTTTTTATTTATTACAGAGACAAGGTCTCACCATGTTGCCCAGGATGGTCTAGAACCTGCGGGCTCAGGCAATCCTCTCATCTCGGCCTCCCAAAGAGCAGGGATTACAGGCTTGAGCCACCGCGCCTGGCCAGGCCACTGCTATTTTAAGTGTTCTTCTTCTTCTTTTTTTTTTTTTGAGTTGGAGTCTCACTCTGTCACCCAGACTGGAGTGCAGTGGCACACTGATGGCTACCACAGCCTCAACCTGCTGGGCTCAGGCCATCCTTCCATCTCAGCCTTCCAAGTAGCCAGAACTATAGGAATGTGCCACCGTACCTGGTTAATTTTTTATAGAGATGAGGTCTTGCCAAGTTGCCCAGGTTGGTCTCAAACCCCTAGGTTCAGGCAATCTTCTCACCTCATCCTCCCAAAGTGCTGGGATTATAGGCTTGGACCATAGCACCTGGCCTATTTTAAGCATTCTTTTTGACTTATCAAGTTGTCGGTGTGTGTGTGCGTGTGTGTGTGAAAAGTCATAATGATAGCAGGGAGTCTGGGACAGGAAGAAACCACCATAAGGTTTATTTGCTCAACAAATAGTTCATAAAGGTCAAAGACAGGTGCCACAAAATCCCTTTCTTTTTCTAGAGTATAACCATAAAACAGAAAACACAGGAAGTTCCTAATTTGTAGATAGGGTGTTCTAAATGTCTCTCCTTCCATCGACTTCCAGGATTCAAATTTCCTATTACCACTTTATTGTATATTGGATAATATTATTTTTTTATTTTATTTTATTTTATTTTTGAGTCAGAGTCTCACTCTGTTGCCCATGCTGGAGTGCAGTGGCACGCTCACGGCCTTTGCAGCCTCGACCCGCGAGATCAGGCGATCTTTCTGCCTCAGCCTTCCTAATAGCTGGAACTACAGGCACGCACTATGACACCCGGCTTATTTTTTGATTTACTGTAGAGATGAGGTCTCATCAAGTTGCCCCTAACCTCTTAGCTCAGGCAATCCTCTTTTCACCTCTCACCTCGGTCTCCCAAAGTGCTGGGATTACAGCCTTCAGCCACCGTGCCCGGCCAGATAATATTCTTTACTGGAAAAATAGGGCAGTCTTCAAGTTTTTCGTGACTTCATTATCTGAATTCTGACTACATTTTCCCAAAAAGATAAGCAGAGTGGAGTTGAAGCAGAAGATGTGAGATGACCAGGGGGAGAGGAAGAAAAAAGGAAAAGACCCTTCAAAGGAAGAAAGTGAACCCTTGAGGAGAAGGAAAGGATGAAGAGGCAAAAACACTTATGAGGGAGAAAAAGATGTGTGGAGGAGAGCAAAGGAACCATATATGCTTGAAAAAGCCAAAACCAAAATGTTTCTGATGCTAAGTTCCAAGTGGGAAAAGAGAGGAGGGAGGGAGGATGGGAAGTTCCCAGCGTCCTCAGAAAAGTCAGGAGGTGGTTGGTTGGGAGGAGATGCTATTGAGGCCTGCTGCCCCCAAAGTATGACTCACAAACACTCTCCTCACTTGAGATGGTTCTTGGAAAACAGTGTGCTGTGCAGGAATGAGACCCGCTCTGCACGGTCCAATCCTCAAGTGTATTTGGCTCCATTTGAAAAGCACTTTGGGCTGGGCTCGGTGGCTCAGCCTGTAATCCCAGTGCTTTGGGAGGCTGAGGCGAGTGGATTCCCTGAGCCCACGGGTTCAAGATCTGCCTGGGCAACTTGGCGAGACCTCATCTCTACAATAAATCAAAAAATTAGCCGGGCGTGGTAGCATGCGCCTGTAGTTCCAGCTATTCGGAAGGCTGAGGCAGAAGGATCGCCAGAGCCCAGCAGGTCGAGGCTGCGGTGGCCGGGAGCGGCTACTACACTCCAGTCTGAGCGACAGAGTGAGACTCCAACTCAAAAAAAAAAAAAAAAAAAAGAAGAAGGAAAAGCACACTTTGGGAGGACCACTCTCCTAGGTGATGTGCAGGGTTAGCCAGCACAATGGTGCGCCCATCCGAGCTGGCTTGGTTAGTTGTTCTGCCAACTTAGACAGGAGCGTGTAGCTGGTGGAGGAGAGGACAGTCAGATATCTGCGCTGTTGTTTCAAGCCTGGGGAATATATAAACTGTACCACAGGAATTTAAGCTGGTGGCTTACTTTCACTGGTCTTATATTAGTTTTGTCTTTATAACTGAACATTGAATTCTCACATTCATCTAATATATAATCTATCTAGACATGGCATTCTTCCCTCTGGTCTTCCTTGATCACAGTCAATTAAATTAAAAAATTTGGCATCATCACTAACTCTATTTTACCCTCTGTACCCAAGCATATATTTTAATCTACCCATATACCATCCAGACCACAGCTGTCTGTTTTCTACTCAGGCAGGTCTGTAGGATGCCATCAGATGTCTGCCGAATAAGATCTGACAGCATCGTGGCTACAGTGTATTTCTCATCTACTGCTATAATGGTCAAGAGAGAAACAAGACACAGCTGGCATGGTTTGTTCTTAGTCAGCCCTGCTGGCTCCTGGTGATGGGGGTCTCTCTCCTTCCCTCCTCCAGGTGCACACTGCCATTGCTTTAATAATGGTCTCCTGAACCTTCCCGTGATCGATATGTACTCATTGGCATCAGACAAATGTTTTTGATCACAGGGCTTTTCTTAAATAAATACTTGTTGGATTGCAGTGACTTGCGCTTTGCAGGACATTTATCTGATCTTTCTCATGTTTTTCCAAGGTGACCCACAATTGCGCAGCTGCCTTGCTTACAGGTGTTCATAGTGCCCCGACTTGGCCAAGCAACTCAAACAGCCTTCAGGGGCTTGCCTGCCACCTGCTCCCCTGCCTTAAGCTTCAGTTTCCCTGTAACGGGACTTGTTTTGCTTTTCCCCACCTGACAGGCTCAGCTCTGATACCCAGCCCCATAGCCAGGTGCTTTCCTACCCCTACGGACATCATGACATCAGGAACATCCAAGGCTCTTTTCAGTCTTGAGGTCCCCATTCACTGGCCCCAACTGAGATGCCTATACTCTTCCCCCTACCTCATCCTTTAGAACCAAGTTTATATCCTGATTCTTCCAGGCCATTGCTCTCTCTCCTTCGTTTGAGTTTCCAAAACATTTGGTAGTTACCATCCAATCACATGCTATTTGGGACTGTTAATAAATTATTCCCTGGAGAGTCCCATTTGCCAGAAGTGGGTTGGAAGTTTCAGGACAGGAAGGGCTAACCCCTTATACTTCTTTTTATTTATTTATTTTTTGAGTTGGAGTCTCACTCTGTCACCCAGGCTAGACTGCAGTGGTATGCTCACGGCCACCGCTGCCTTACTGGGCTCAGGCGATCCTTCTGCCTTAGCCTTCCAAGTAGCTGGAACTATAGGCACATGCCACCACACCCAGCTAAATTTTTTTTTTTTTTTTTTTGAGTTGGAGTCTCACTCTGTCTGCCTAGGCTGGAGTGCAGTGGCTCGCTCACGGTCACTGTAGCTTCGACCTGCTGGGCTCAGGCGATCCTTCTGCCTCAGCTTTCCATGTAGACAGAACTATAGGTGCATGCTGTCACGCCTAGCTAATATTTTGACTTATTGTAGCAACAAGGTCTCGCCAAGTTGCTCAGGCTGGTCTCAAACCTGTGGGTTCAAGCAATCCTCTCACCTCGGTCTTCCAGAGCACTGGGATTATAGGCGTGAGCCACCATGCCCGGTCTAATTTTTTAATTTATTGTAGAGACAAGGTCTCACCAAGTTGCCCAAACTGATCTTGAACTCCTGGGCTCAGGGAATCCTCTCATCTCAGCCTCCCAAAGTGCTGGGATTATAGGCATAAGCCACAGCATCCAGCCCCCTTACACTTCTTTAGTAACTTCCTGCAGCAGGTGGTGTAGCACTATGCCACGGCAGTCCTCAGAAGTGCTTTTTGGGCAGACTGTTGTTTCCAGCTTACCTTGTGGTTCAAGGGAAAGGCATACAATTTCGACTTCGATGGAAGTTGTAAACTGCCCACCTCAAGTAGTCCCAGAGTTTATTTTGAAATGAAATGACATTGGGCCTTGTAGAAGTGGGTCTACTCAGACTCTTTAAATGAATCTCAATGAAATTTGAAACTTACATAGGTAAGTTAGATGTATCATTGCACCTAGGAGGGTACAGCCTAAAGGCATGTTTAAGTATCTGGGATAATCTTGAAATATGGTTGGAAAAATAATAATGTTCCTCAAATTAACTGGATATGCATTTATTTCAATAAAAATGCCTCTTGGGCCAATCTGATTCCCCAGGTCATGGTGATGAAGACTGACACGTCCTTAGCATTAGTTTCCTAAGCAGGGCTAAAGCTGAACACACATGGACCAGACATGCAGTGAGAAACTCTTTTCTTAGATCCAGCCCAGCCCACATGACTCTCAGATGGCCCACAAATCAGACTCCCCAGACATTTCATTGGGGCAGGCATGCGGCCTGAAGTAAGGGCGCTGTCTCCGGGTGCCCCAGAAGATACAGTCTGACTGGATAAACTTCAAAGTTGACCAAAATTCTGACATCTAAGTGGTGGTTTTATTTTTAAAAGGAAAAAGGAAAATACACAGTTACACAAAGACAGGAAATCATGTGTTTACTTTGGGATAAAGAGGGGTTGTCTTTCTTCTCTATTTTCTCTATTTTTCTCCAAAACAAACAAACAAACAAACAAACAAACAAAAACATCCTTGGCTAACACGGTTGAGGGCAATAAGCAAGCGCGTTGTTTGGCATTTAGCTCACTGGCACTGGGGGGTGGGGACTGGCTCCTGACGGTCAATGCCAGGTAGCTGTGAAATCACCTCCCTTTCCCGACCCCTCATTTTGCATCCCCCCTCCATCTTTCCAGACCTCACCTGGTTGATTACATAGATGCCATAGTCCAACTGCTGGCGCTGCAAGATTGGGTGCAAGTAATATAGCCAATACTTGAGATGCTCCTGCCGGTTGCGGAATGGAATAATGATGGCCACCTTGTGAGGAGAGACGCAGTCTCCGGGGGCATAGCGGCCGCCCAACTTCACCTTGGGGTTCTGCTTCGCCACAAGTTCCAGGTCCACAGGCGTGTTAAACTCAATCAGCATGGGGCCGACTAGAGAGGTGGAGGGAGGGGGGAGACGTTAGCAGACCACAGGACTCGCTGCCCACAGCTGCATCAGGTCAGGCTGCGGAGGAGACATCTCCTCCTGGGAGGCAGCAGGGCTGTGGCCAGGGTGTGCGTGTGCCTAACACCAGGTACCACACCCAGCACTGGGATGACCAAGCATTCCAGGAAACTCCTCGGTGCTGGGCAAACTCAGATGGTTGGTCACTCTACGAGGCACCCACCTGCCTAGGACCCTCCCCACTCAGACTCCATTGTAAAATTGAAATAATTCTTGCTCAGATTTCCTGGCAGCCTGTTATAAAAATTAGTGATTAAGCCTAGTATGGTGGCTCACACCTGTAATACCAGCACTTTGGCAGGCAGAGGCAAGAGGATTGCCTGAGCTCACGGGTTCAAGACCAGCTTGGACAACTTGGTGAGATCTCGCCTCTACAATAAATCACAAAAACGAGCTGGGCGTGGTGGCATGCATCTGTAGTTCCAGCTATTTGGAAGGCTGAGATGGAAGGATCACCTGAGCCCAGCAGGTCATGGCCGTGAGCATGCCAGCCTGGGGAACAGAGTAAGACTCCAACTAAAAAAAAAAAAAAAAAAAACAAGTGATCAAAGATGAGAAAGCACTTTCTTAGCTACCCTGAGGTTGAGACCTACTTCTGCCATCTCCCAGCTGTATGACCTTGGGCAAATGACTGACATCATTCTCTCTGAATCTGACTGGGGAAGGGCACACTCACGTATGTGTTGGCAAAGTCAGTGTGAAGGAAATCAGCTTCAAAGCAGAAGGTCATAGGAGTGGCAAGAGTAAACACGTATCAGGAAGGGACTTGATGTCAGGTGAACCAAACTCAGGGAGGGGTGGAGGCAATGAGATCCCAGAGGAGACTAAGCAAAAAGAAAAGAAATCGCTGGGGAAAACAAGGAAAAATGCTTAGAAACAGCAGGGAATAAAGGAACAAAGGGGATGAAGACGGGAGAAAGAATCAGGCATGGCTCTCAAGTTTCTGGCCTGGAAGGACATGGATCCGGATGAGGGAAATAAGTTAGGAGGAATGCTTGGCTCAGAAGAAAAATCGAAGAGATGCAGATGGTGGATTCTGAGGTGGGGCGGGCGAGTAATAGAGGGAAAAGCAAGAGGTAAGGTTCAAGTACAGGACGTGTGGCATACATGGTGCATGATCCAGGCAACACAGGGAATCAGGGTCAGATACAAGACTTGAACCCAGACTCCCTGTACTCTCTGGAGGTCAGGCTTCCTCAAAATGGTTCCAGGAAACATTAGACCCAACAAGATGATTAAGGAAAAATATGTTCCAAGGTCAGATATTAAATCCTGCTTCTGGAAAGTCATGACACACAACGAAGGCTCTGAGAAGTTGTAAAGTCAAGAAACCCCCTTCACTTTATTTTTTTAATTTTTTAATTTTTAAGTTAGGGTCTCACTCTGTCACCCAGGCTGGAGTATGGAGTATGATCACAGTTCACCACAGCGTCGACCTCCTGGGCTCAGGAGATCCTTCTGCCTCAGCTTCCTGAGTAGCTGGGACTACAGGCATGCGCCACCATATCCAGTTAATTCTTTAACTTTTTTGTAGAGACGAGATCTCATTATGTTGCCCAGCTTGGTCTCAAACTCCTGGGCTCAAGCAATCCTCTCGTTTCAGTCTCCCAAAGTGTTGGGATTACAGGTATGAGCCACGATGCCCAGCTATTTTTTAATTTTATAATTTTTGAGTCAGGGTCTCACTCTGTTGCCTCGGCTGGCATGCAATGGCACAATTATGGCTCAGAGCAGCCTTGACCTCCTGGGCTCAGATGACCTCCTAGCTCAGATGATCCTTCTGAGTAGCCGGGACTACAGGCCCAGGTGTGCCACCACACCCAGCTAATTTTTTTTTTTTTTTTAAAGAGATGAGGTCTTGCTATGTTGCCCAGGATGATCTCAAATTCCTGTACTCAAGCAATCCTCCTGACTCAGCCTCCCAAAATGTCGAGATTACAAGTGAAAGCCACCACTCCTGGCCCACCCTTCACTTTATTTAACCCACCATTTCTCAAACTTATGTGGCCACAGAGCCCTTCTGTCATGACACACTTTGGGAATTGTTACTCTAGTGTAAACAGCTTCACCTGTGAAGTAAACAAGCCCTGAGAACAAAGGAAGAAATCTAGAGAACAGAGGTAGAACACCAACCACAAGTTCTGACCCAAACCTGAAACATGCTGGTGAGAACCCACCCAGGCCCAGAGCACAGGCCATTCTGCCCTGTTTATCAGTAATATGTGGCTCCCACGCACCCCTTGTCCCCAGGGATCACTCTCCCTTTTGAACTGAATAAACTGATGAGAAAAGGAAGCCATAGGCCTGACTCCGGTGATGGCAGGTGTGAGTCACCAGCTACCTCCTCCTCTCCTTCATCCAATACATTCCTCACACCCTCCCTCCTCCATAGCTGACCCAGTTCCATCATCACGGGACCCGTTCCCATGAGTTCACTTTCTTCAGGGACACAGCTCTGACTGTATCACTTTCCCGCTAAAAGCTTCCAGTGGCTCTAAGGCTATGTGGCCATGTACAAGGCAAACCCCTTAGCTTGGCAACAAGGCCCTTCAGTCTCAGCTCTATCTCCCTCTCCATTCCTACAAACCATGCCTATGTCCACTTCTTCCTTTGCCAGGAACGCCCTTCCCTCTCTTCTCCAGTAGGCACATTTTTGCACAGAGAGATGCAAGATCAAGCTTCCCCCTTATGTTTTCTGCATTATCACAGAGCTCAGGCAGCAGACCCTCTGGAGCAAGGAAGATCTTCATGACTCCAAAGGCCTGGCTCTCCCGCTGACTGTGCACCGCCCACCTGGAGGAACATGGGCCTCAAGATCAGTCCCTCCCAAGACTGCCTGCTAACCCTGGGCCAGTTTTTCCCAAATGCATCTTCAGAATTGCCTTAGTTGGTTAGTAAAAATGAAGCATTTTGGCCGGGCTCGGTGGCTCAGCCTGTAATCACAGCACTTTGGGAGGCTGAGGCGAGTGGATTGCCTGAGACCACAGGTTCGAGACTCACCTGGGCAACTTGGAGAGACCTCGTCTCTACAGTAGATAAAAAATTAGCCGGGCGTGGTAGCGTGCACCTGTAGTTCCGGCTACTTGGAAGGCTGAGGCAGAAGGATCGCGGGAGCCTAGCAGGTCAAGGCTGAGTGTGCCACTGCACTCCAGTCTGGGCAACAGAGTGAGACTCCACTCAAAAAAAAAAAATGTAGCATTTCAGGTCCTTGTCCTAGAGTCTGCAGATCTTGGGAAGGACCTAATGGATGATGAACAAGGAGCCCAAGTGATCCTTACTAGGCAAGTTAGGCACTAGGGAGCTGACGGCCCATCTTCACAAGTCTTGGGGCTTTCAGGCCAGAAGGGTCCTCAGAGATTCCCACCATGTACACCTTTTGCCTCAAGGTCTGCCAGGCCTGTGCTGCTCAATTCCCCATGCCTGGGCAAAACCCTGTAGGAGGCCCTGATGCACAGTGAACTTGTGAAAAGCACAAAAAGAAAATCTGTCACTGAGCTCTTTTCACTTCAGAGGGCCCCCCACGCCATCTGCAACCCCACCCTAACTTCGGTTCTCAAGATGCTACTAAACATAAACCTATTTTCAGGAACCCACAAAACACCTGGGCTGTCACCCTGCCAACTTGCTCACATCTTCTGAAACCCAGAAGACAGGAATTCACACGTGGCCTACGTAGCTTCCCCAGAGAAGACACCTGCAGGCTAGAAAGTGTCCTGGTATTGCCTGGTCATGGGTTCAGAAAGGTGGTCCTGAGGTCCAGAGCCCTGGTCCAGCTCCACCAGTGACTAGTGGGATGATCTAAGGTCTCAGAACATCCTGATGTGCCCAGAGATACTCAGTCAGAAGGAGAGCAGGGGCCCAAAGAGAGATCTTCTGACCAAGCCTTGCTCTTACCTTCCCTGTCCCAGAGAGCAGGGATGCCCAAGCAGACAGGAAGACATGTGGGCCCTGGACAGGAGAGGTGAGAAGAAGCCTTGATCACCAGGCAGCAACTAATCTACGTCTCCTCCGATCTTGCTACCTAGGCTTTCTTGGTCTTCTTTCCTTGATGTCTATCTTTGTCCTCTTCTCTTCTCACTCTCCCTTTTCTCACCCGGGTCTTTGGATAAAGCATGTAACAGTTCCCAAATCTCTGTCTCCAACCCATGTCTTTCTCCTGATCTCACAGTCAACAGGACACAGCTAGCTACATATTATGGGCACCTAAAATTCAATATACCCCAGATGAACTCTCAAGCAACCCAACCCCACCACCATCACCACCTATGGCCAAACCTGCTTCTTTTCTAGGGATCCCTCAGCAACTGATATTGCCATCCCCTAGTATGGGAGATGGTATCTGGTAACATCCATTTTCTATTCCCCCTCCTCCTTCCCCAACCCCAACACACACATACACACGTGCATATACTTACTCACTCATACACAGGAGGTGTCAACAGCAGGCTGACAATCCACAGACGCCTATCAGGTACCAAACCAGAGTCTTTATTCTAAAATGTTGATTGAATGCAAACTTGCCCTGTGATATATGTCAAGACCACTTTCAATTTGTTTCAATCAATACTTTCTGGGCACCTACTGTATACCAGCCCAGGGTGGGGGGCGGTGGTTAAGGTAGAAAGAGAGGATGGATAAGAGAGTTCCTCCTCCCAGGAGCTCCCTGCTGGATATGTGGCAGAACCTCATAGAAATTACCCGGGTTCAAGGTTGGCCAAGGCACTTGCTCCTCCAATGGCTCTGTGCAGAGCTTTATCACAGAACAGCCTCTTCTTACTCTCCTGCTCCCTTCTACACCCCTCTGTGGCCCTCTCATGACCCCTCATCATGCCTCCAATACTCTGATGCCCAATCCCGTCCTCCTTGCCCAATCTGGTAATTTCTTCCTCACATTCTTTCTCTGAAGCCGTCACACCTCTGAGATTAG